GACTTCACGCATGCTAGGGGGAGCTATGTCCCAGTCCCAGGACTTCACGCATGCTAGGCTGAGCTATGTCCCAGTCCTATGCTGGTTTTTTAAAAGACAATGCCTAAGGATGGAGTCCTCACTGTGCTTCCAACTGAACCAGGAAAAATATACAGAAACTTATAAGATTGAACCATACAGAATTTGCATATATGGAAAGAGCCAGGGTTTCATGTTTCCCAGGCTGGTCTTGAACTCAATATGTAGCCAAAGATGACCTTGAACTCCCGACCCTTCTATGTCTTCCATTACATAGCTTCCATTACAATGGGTGCACCACCATGCCTGCCTTATTGGAATTATTTAAATAATATAAATTAAGATAACTTGGTAAATGATATTCAAACTAGAACAAAATTATTGGAATAGTTCAGAGGCCCAGTATATACCAGCAGGGGAAATAAAGAAAGCTATTGTTGGGTTTTCTTTAAGAGGAAAGTGCCACACTTCTATACCTTACCTGAGCACATGGCTCCTCTGTAAAGACTCCTGCTGCCAAGGATGCTGACCTGAGTTTGATCCCTATGATCCACATGGGTGGAGGGACAGGAGCAGCTTTTACAAGTTGTCCTCTGACCTCCATGCACACCCACAGGGCGGCATGTGCACGTCCACACAGCTACACAGGCACACAAAATTAATTGATAGAATGTATACAGATAAAAGGGCTAGTGCTGTGCTTGGCTAGCCTGCTGCTCTGGCCGCGTCTCCTTAGGCACATCCTGGGGGCTGGTGCTGCCTTCTCAGTCACTCGCTACTTCTGTTAGTGCAGTCTTCATGCTCCCCAAGCATCCATGAGTCGGGGAAGCTGGCCAAATAGAACTGCTGCCCCTATCCGCTTCCCTTTCTAAATTCGCTCCAATTCAGTTCCCTTTTCAGCCTTGGTCTCATGAAAAACCACACATGAGGGAGTAGGTGGGATTCTCACCACCATTGGGAAACGACTCTGTGCCTTGAGGTGGGTGAAGAAGGGCCAGATATGCAGTTTCTCCCACTCAAGAAACAAGATGAGCCAGGCGGTGATGGCAAACGCCTTCAATCCCAGCACTTGAGAGGGAGAGGCAGGTGGATTTCTCTGAGTTTGAGGCCAGTTTGGTCTACAGAGTGAGTTCCAGGACAGTTAGGGCTGTTACACAGAGAAACCCTGTGTGTGTGTGTGTGTGTGTGTGTGTGTGTGTGGGAGAGAGAGAGAGAGAGAGAGAGAGAGAGAGAGAGAGAGAGAGAGAGAGAGGATGAACATCCAAGAAATTGAATGCCAGTTTCCTTCTTCATGCTCAGAGCACCCTGAGACCCCAAACAAAGCTGGCTAAGCCAGAATTCCTTGTGTCTTTTCCATGCCAAGCATTTCCAACTGTTGTGTGGTTGGAAACCTGTGGACTTTATCATTGTGGGTTTTATGTTTTCAGTCTTACTGGGAAAGAGCTTTCCTACACTCGGGCTTTACCAAACACAAAGCATAGAACTGATCTGAGAGAAAAGGCATCCAGGGCTTGCAGGTGTAGCTCAGCAATACAGTGTGTGCTTAGCAGGCAGGAACGCCAGGCTCAACACAGGAGCAACTGAGGGCCGTGCCCACAACCCGGCACCAGAGGTGTGACCTACAGAAATAACTCGGCCTGCTTCAGTTTCCTTCCAAAAACGGAACAAATAGTAATGGTCATGTTATGGGGCTATGTTGAAGGTTAAATATGTTAGTGTGTGTTACATACTAGGAACCTAGTGTTCTCTCTCTTTCTCTCTCTCTCTCTCTCTCTCTCTCTCTCTCTCTCTCTCTCTCTCTCTCTGTGTGTGTGTGTGTGTCTCCCTCACTTCCTTTCTATATTATTTGTTTGCTTGCTTTTCACACCAGGTCTCTCTCCATGACCCTGGCTGCCCTAGAACTCACTATGTAGACCAGGTTGGACTTGAACTCACAGAGACTTGCCTGTCTCTGCCTCTCAAGTGCTGGAATTGAAGGCATGCCTGGCAGGGCCCTTCATTTATTTATCTGAACTTTTGGATACAGAGTCTGGATATGTAGCCCCAGTTGGCCTTGAACTCACTGTCCTGCCAAAGCTGGGCTTGAATTAGATCAGTCCTCCTACCCCAGTTCCTCAGTGCTGGAGTACAAGTGTGCACCAGCATGCGCAGGGATTTTTGTTGTTGTTTTGTTCTGTTTCTTTTGCAACAGTGGGGATTGAACTCATGGCCTCACACATGGTAGGCCAGCACTCTACCACTGACCATATTACCTGTTACTGTTTTTGCCTGAAGCAGGGTCTCATTCTATAGCCTATGGCCTAGAATTCAGTATGTAGCCCAAGTTGGCTTTGAACTCTCAGCAATCCTCCTTCCTCCATATCCCAACTGCTGTGACCACTAGAACAGGCCAACTATGTCTGGTTAAGTTGACTGACTTGTGGTTGCTATTGCTGTTCTCGGGGCTAGGGATCAAACCTTGTGCATGCTAAGCAAGCACTCTTGCCCGAGTCTTCGTGAGCATTTTAATAATGAATATTTTTATCTTTATATAAAGTGGAGACAATAGCCATCTTACCAAGTCATGGTTGACACTAAGTGACTATAAAATGTTGGTGTCGGGTTAATGCTATACAAGGTCCTTTGCCAGCGTTAGCTGGTTCATCCTGAGAATAGGTGCGGTATTGTCTATAGCTGATGATAATGGTGGCCATAACCTGGGGAAAAGAAGGAGGCAGATTTCTCAAGACAGAATTGGAGTTTAGGATTTAGACAGTGCAAAGTCTACATAATAGTCCAGCAGTCCTGTGTCTTATTTGTTTGTTGATTCTGTAGCCAGGATTAAGATGAGGCTGTCTCAATTTATTCTGGGACTCTTTCAACTAATGCCCCAGGCTGCCTCCCACTAGCATGTGTGAACAAAGGCAATAAATAACTGTGGAATGGAGTCGGCCTTGACTCCCAACTCTACGTGGAGAAGGAAGAGGAGGACAGAAAGTCACAATCAGAGCCAGAGTCCAAGTCCAGCTTCCCTGAACGTTGATGAATCTGCAGTCCTGACTCCCTGCTTTACCTAGACCCTTCCCAGAGCATGCACAGAGTAGAGGGGTCACCGGGAGAGGCCACAATGTCCAGTGAAAGAGGCTCACCCACCCAGCTTTGCCCTAGGACATATCATACTTTCTTCTGGAAGACTGGAACCGTGGCAGGTAGAATCTTGCTCCAAAACTATAGTGCTAATCAACCCACTGCCTCAGCTGCCCACTCAAGGCCTGGTTGGCATCCACACTTGCCCCTGGCACTCCAGTCTGCAGAGGCCTTCACTTGAATGGGCATGGAAGGCTGGCAGGGTGCATAGGACATTAAAAATTAGGAGCTGAGATAATAAAACTGCCATCATTGCTTGCCAAACACTTCTACAAAAATATCTCTGCCTACTTTTCACTTAGGCAAGGTCTGGGCAATGCTGGCCTCCGATGCAATTCTTTTCACTAGTTTTAACTGGGAACTTGCTCCTTTTGGGTTTTTTAGTGTGTGTGTGTGTGTGTGTGTGTGTGTGTGTGTGTGTGTATACCAGAGGGTATCCTTGGGTATCAATCTCAGGAATGCCTTTTACCTTCTTTAAGACTAGACCAGTAGGCTAGACTTGCTGGTCAGAGAACCCCAGGGATCCTCCTGTTTCTACCTCCCGGAACTGGGGTTACAAGCATGTGATATTGTGACCAGCCTTTTTATGCATTTTCTGGAGATCAATCTCAGGTCCTCTCTCTTGCAAGGCAGGATATTTACCTACTAAACCATCTCCCCAGTGTTGGTGAAATCAGTGTTGTATGCCCATTGGTAGAGCAGGTATATGCAAGACTTTTGCTTGTTTGTCTTCAGATTTGCA